ACCATTGCCTTATTAACCCTTAAAAGAATGGGTGAAACCAAGTACCCCAATTCTCTTATCTATCCAGCAAAGGAGCTCTGCACAAGTTCAAAGACCTTTCGAAGATATTAGAAGATAATAGTTGTCAAATCCTCACTAATGGTGATCGGTGTTATTGAGAGTAGGTTATCCGTTTCATTTCCCAACAGAATACCAATCGAAAGCGGAAGTGATGCGAATCTACTTGGAAGTGACAACTAAATGAAAGAAGAGTCGATGGATAATTTGTGGAGGAAGGACCTAAAACTTCAAAAGTTTGCGAGGCGATGCTCATTAAAACTCCAACAAGCATCCACCCAGTTCAAGCAGTATCTGGATTTGAGAGGCGAGTTGAAACAGCATAGTAGATCAAAAGTTCGACTACTCAACAACAGCAGCGGAGAGCAGCTGGGAGCCAAGAGGCGCATTGCAGTTGGAGCAGAAAATTTAAGACTCAGTAAAGGCGAGAAGTTGCAGTGTTGGCAAAAGGCTTCAATGAGGACGTCAAATGAATAAGTGGGGGAGAATGTCACGGACAAACTTCTAAACAAGATGTTTGATGTAATGCTTATGTATGTTCATGTCTTTTAGTATGTTCATGCTTTACACAGTATATAGAAGGATGGCCGAAGGCTTAATAGTCCCATTTTAGTTGGGTTTGGTGGCTGCTTTAGGCTTGTAAATAAAAGTTGTGTCATGTGGACACTTGTGAGAGATTTTAAATCTGTAGTGGATTATTTTGACCCTTTGTTGTGCAACTGTTCAGTTTGTAAAGTCTATTTATAATTTGCATTGTCTATGAAGTGTTTTCTGGAATATTTGCTTGTGGATCCCGAGTGAGGCATTTTCTCTAACCCGTTTTCTCTTTTGTAGGTCCCAAGGGACCATAGGAGGTTTCGGGGAGGCTGACCTTTATGGACGGACATACAAGGGTGCCGCACGACTTAGGCAAAACCAGCTAAGTCCGTGACACCATGACATGTTCAGGAGCGACTAGAATTAGTTATATTAAATTGCTAGCCTAGATCTTATTAGGGTCCTAGCTCACTAATATTGGTTGGAAAGGATATGAGGAGGAGACATTGGAACATATGCAATTGTTCTGTATCAAATGCAAACGGGTTGATTGCCTAAGACTCGAAATAAGATTGAAACTTAAGTTACCATCCTACTCCATCTCATAGAACAAAGTCTTCGGTTAAGCTAGGATAGGAAGATTGGGTTGGTTAAGTTAGATTGAGAAGCAGGATTATGAATCCTTTTTCCATTTCTCCAACGTCATTCAGTTAGGTTTAGTCAATTTGGAATTATATTTTCTTTGGACTTGAACACAAGTGTTATGCAAGTGTCATTTGTCTTCCTTCAAATACAAAGATAGAACCCTAGAATCAGAGATTGACAATGTAGAAGCCTAGGTTGAAGGGAGCTCATACTTCAGTAGCCAACTTTACCATATTTGAAATAAATGTTAGGAAGATTTTTAAATATAATCGATTGAAAGAACAATGAAAAACCTACTTAAATCCAAATGCCTCAAGGAACAGACTTTGATTTAACAAAACACAAATTTGGGCATATTTTCCTGTTATTCTAGATAAGGTGATTTCATAGGCCTTTAGAGATTTATCTATTTAGAAACTAATTTGGGCAACGAAATTAGGTCACATTAATTCTAATGGAAAACCTAGTAACTAAAGCTATATTGGGATTATATAAATAGTTTCTAAAAAAGTTGAAAATTAGATTTTTATGGAAGAAGAGTAAACAATTAACCTCGGAGGATCATAGTAAAATTTGAATTATAGAATAAAATCGAAAGAAGAAAAATCCATCGGCCATATAAATAATTGAGAAAACTAAAGATAAACCCTAAATTTTGGGCAAAGTTGATTTTAGGAGTTATAATAAAGGGATTTTACTAAGAAAATTTTCATAGATATTAATTTGTATTTCTTCGTAAGCCAATGAGACCACCAATGTTTAGTGGACTTTTAGTGAAGAATGACTTTGGATATTCGACAGATGATTCTTTATGACTTAATTTGGTTGTTTATTTGTAACTCCTTTAACTTTACGAAAGAGGTTTGCTTAATAAATAGGTCAAGAATGGGCATGTACTCTTAAGCATAGTAAAGATGATGCACCATGGGAAGAGCCCTAAAATGGATAAGAAAGAATGATATAATGGAATGGGAGGAGAGGAAAGCAGCACCTCCAAGGAGAGAGTGGGGAGAGACTTAAGGATCGCTAGAGTTTCTCTCTAGAAACCTTAACAATAAACTCCTAACCAATAATATTTAATTACAATATGTAATTACTAACATAATATATATACCACATTATTTAGTTCTAAAATTAGTCATTGTTTATATCATTAGTTGATGTTTAATATGTTTATAAAAAATATATTATTTTTTATTTTTTTCACTTATTGAGAGAAAGAAATAGAAGTTTACATCATAATTATCACGATTGACCAATCTGATTCCACCAAAATAGAAATCAAACCCTTAGTTAGTTCAATTGGCTATTAGATGTTTTTTATTAATATTATTTTAATACCATTAAATATAAATACTTATATTTTAAGATATTTTAGTCTTTTAATAATGTTTTAAAACACACATCTTTGGATCCCTCTTACCATCCCCTTTATCATTCTCTCTCATCTTATTTTTGTCTCTCATTAATCTTCTCATTTATTCTAATTTTATTGTCTCTCTTGTTTTCTTATTTTTGTTCTTTATTTTTATTATATTTTTATCATGATGTTTTATTTTATTTCACAATTATTTTGTTTCTTTCTTTTATCACAACAATGTATTGACCTATGTTTCTTACCAACCAATATATTGGAGTTTAGATTTTAATCTTTTGATCATTAAATTCTTGAACTCATTTTGAAACAAAAGCCACATTTTGTAATTATTCTCTAATATATCTTACCTATTTTTTTTTATTTCTCATATATAATATAAGTATAATTTTATATTTTAAATATTTTATATGAAATCTATAATCTGATCACTTGTTCTATTGGTCTAATTATTGAACTATTGATCCAAGGCTTGATCAATGTCTAATATGTATTGGATAATTATCATTTAGAAACAAAAGTTTTTAAATTTAAAAAAAAAAAAATATATATATATATATATATTATATTATATGACAGACAAGATTGATTTAAATATGAAATCCATCACCTATATAATAATATACTAACCATTAGGAAATGTCAATGAATCCATCATTTAGGAACAAATTTGTTATCTTTATTTTATAAAATTTTCTAATCACTATACCATGATAACATAATCTCCTTCTTTTATCTCTTTTGCACTTTTTATCTTTGAAACCAAAGTGTGGATATCTTTCTCTTCAACTCTTGCTTCTTTGATGACTTCAACCACAAAGATCCACATAGATGATAAAATCATAAGAATAAGACAATATAAGAATGTCACTTTGAGGCTCCCTTTTCCTAAGAGGATAATTGAGGATTAGATGTCATTTTCTTAGAGCTGGTTTTCACAAAACATGAGGAAGTATATATATATGATGGCCATCCCTCCACCAATATTTCCAAAACCACAAAACTCATAAATGGCGTAGATTAACGAAGTAAAAACAATAAATCATGTATGTGACCTTAAAAAACACTTTGATAACTAGTGCAAAATTCTATCCTTGTCCCCATGTAGTTGTTGGTTTTGGTTTTTGTTTTCCTTATCGAGGAAGCGTTTTTTTAATTTGAGTTTTGCCTTCTTTCTTTTTTTTCTCTTCCACGAACATAAGTATTGACATGTTAAAAGTAGATAATAAATCTTACATTTTAATCCTCAAATCATACAGTAAATCTTCCAATGATATTTTGTAAAATTATCATTCATTTGAAGGTATTGGTTAGCTTATCTAGTAAATTTTAACATATTTTTATAAAGTCTCAAGAATCTTACTTTCATCACTTACCCTTTATATATAAATATAAATATATATATATATATATATTTATATATATTTATATATATATATAATTGAACTATCTTTTCCTAAAAAACACCATTGACTATTAAAACAACTTGATGATATCAATATCTAAAGAGATATTCCAATACATATACTGTAAGATGTCCACATAATGAGTTAGGAGTTTGAATCATGTTAGTGTTCTTAGATCAAGAATAAAAATTAGTTTTTTAATTAAAATGATGACATGGAAAGGTGAAAGAAGCTAAATAGAGTTAGAAATAAAAAAATTCAAATAGATATACAAAATACTAAAGATATAATAAAGATATTCATTCTACTACATATAAGAGAATCAAAGACACTAAATACCAACAACTAAATAGATTAGAAGGATAAATTAGAGAAGTTGAAGATGGAACTCAAACAAAATAAAGAAAATAGAATGTAATAAATCATTAAAAATTTAAAAGATCAATCAAAAACTATTATGTGATCACACGTTACGTGTATGCGAGACATATGTATTACACGTTACATGCGATCGATAAAATGATAAAAAAATACCTTGATGTTATACGACGGAGGGATAAGAGACATATCTCTTGAAATAAAATGAAAAAAAATAAAATAATAACTTATGAATTTTTCTTAATAAATGCCCTGATGTTATATCAAAACATAGATTCTGTTCGAAGATACAGAAAATCTTCCATAAGATAACAACAATGCAATCTTTTATCTAAAGTTACTTTTGATTTATCTAATAAATTTATTCCTTTTTACACTTTATGACTTTATCTCACCGATTGACATCCACCAACTCGCATTATTTTAATTTAGATAAGTTCAACTAATAAATATTTTTTGAAATTTATGATATACTTAATCTTAGAAAAGAAACTAATTTGATTTTATTGATAATTCTTGGAGGGATCACTCGATCTATTCCCATCACATCATAAACCTAAAAAAGGGGGAATCTTTTATTTCCATGTGCGTGTATTCCTCATTCCCCAATTCGATTCCCTCTGCCAAAACACGATACTTTTTTTAGTTCCCCTCCCCTTCATCCCTCCACCCGACTCCCCAAAATCCAACCTTTCCCTTTCTCCCTCTCCCTTATGGATCCCAAAGACTCATCGAAGCAGCCACAGTATGTTTCCAGGCTCCCCCAGGAACGCTCTCTCCCACTGTCTCATGAAACTGATGCAGCAGCAGCAGCAGAAAGTAGCGATCTTGTGCCTGCCGCAGCCTCAGAGAGGCACGGGGGATTACAGGTGGTGGCAGCGGAGAAGGATGAGCAGAGGAAGCAGCTTGCGCCCAAGAGGAGCTCCAACAAGGACAGGCATACGAAGGTTGAAGGCAGGGGGAGGAGGATCAGGATGCCGGCCCTCTGCGCCGCCAGGATCTTCCAGCTCACCAGAGAATTAGGCTACAAGTCCGATGGGGAGACCATCCGGTGGCTCCTCCAGCAGGCGGAGCCCGCCATCATCGCGGCCACCGGCACGGGCACCATCCCGGCGTCGGCCCTTGCCTCCGCAGCCGCGGCTGGCCCCACCGGTGCCACCGTCTCCGCAGGCCTCCATCCCAAGTTCGATGAGCTCGGACCCCGGCCTAACCGGGCCATGCTGGGGCCTGCTAGCTTTGGCCGGCCCCTCCACGGTCTTTTGCTGCCGCCTGGTGTGCTTGACTCCGGATTCCTGCAACCTGGTTCGGCCGCCGCTGCAAGTTCCAGTGCGGGCGGCGGCGACACATCGGTGAGCAGCTTGATGCAGAGGATGGGGATTTTGCACGGGCTGGACTTGCCCGACGGCAACACAGGTCCGATGAGCTTCGCGTCACTGCTGGCCGGACATGGACAGCAACTGCCGGGACTGGAACTTGGGCTATCACAGGATGCCCATTCTGGTGCGCTGAATCCTCAGGCCTTGAACCAATTCTATTCGCAGATTGGGCATGTCATGGGTGCAGCTGGTTCAGCTGGTTCAGCTGGGAGTGGGCAATTGCAACACCAGCAGCAACAACAAGTCTTTTCTGCGGAAGACGATTCACAGGAGTCAGAGTAATGGTTGGAAGAGTTTTGTAGGAAAACTTGCATGCTAATTGTTGGCTTATTTCTTTGGATCATGAAGATGGCCGGGATCGGTAAGTCTCTGTGGCACATGGTGATGGTGGTTTCTTCTGCCTGCTCCTCCCTTCTCTGCAACCTCCATTTGTGGTTTCCCAATTCTGGTGTCACTCTCTCTTTTAGTTCATATGAGTGATTTATGCTATCAGCTTGGGATAGTAACAATATAATATTGGATGTATAGTTTTGCAGTCCATGGTTGACAGAGCCGGATATACTGTGCCAGGATTTCATGTATCATGATGTCAAGGTGTGCAGGTAAGCCATGTTCGATGATCAATTGATCTGCGATTGCCTTGCTCTCTGAGTTGGAAATATCATCATCCATTACACTTATGTCTTGTACCTCTGTTAGGCATGCCGAGTAATTTTCGGTTTTCTATTGATGTTCTGTAAAATATTGCATACGCAAAGTCTGGAAATGTTATTTTATCTCTAGTCTTACCATTATTGACTTCAAGCCAGATAATTGACACTGTCTATAGGCATTCTAATTCTCCTCTTTCATATTACTCGATAATTACATGTTTTTATGATAAAATTCTATTTATGTCTATTTTTATTAACTAAGTTTTTTTTGGTTTATAGATTTAGGATGTCTTCGTGAATATTGAATCCATTACAAAATTATGTTATTTGTCTTATTTTATGATATGAGAGTTGATTTGTGCTCAAAAATATTGTAATACCTCAATTAATCTTACATCGGAAGTGGACTAAAATGAAGATTGACCTATAATGATCTGATTGGTGTATTATTGTTAACTTTAGTTTAAACATGTTGAGCTAGCTATTCAGATTCAATAAAGTTAATGTGCCAGTTATCTTATGGTATTCGAGCTAACTTTAATATTATTAGAGCACGGTGAGAGACTTAAGTAGAAAAGGGTTACTCATGGACGGGGTCAGTTCGTTGAGCCTGAACCACTAACTTAAAATACTTAAGTTGAAGTTAATATTAATACCCATCAAACCCGATCATTGTTCATTTTGAATTGGCTAAAGAGTAATATGAACTTGAGAAAATTGTAGTTAAAAAAAAAACACAATGTAGGCCAAAATATCAGTCCACTTATGTTCATCGCACTTCCTACGTGTGTTGTATATGTGATAGTTGTCATACTGAATTTACAACGTTATGTCCAATTTAGTGTGAAACTTCATGATATTATTTAAAATGATTGATATGAAAGGGAAGAAAATAAACTGTTGCACTTTGTGGACATAAATTCTATAAGTGTTAAGATGATTATTGCATCGTGTTGTTGATTCAAGATTTGAATAGGCAAAATCAGGATTCAAATTTGGAAGTGCATAACATGTTGAGAAGATCAGGTTATCTTTGTCAAGTTCATGCGCCTCGGTCTTCTTAGTTTTGTCAAATTTATGTCGAGAAGATAATATGTGTCTCAACTTGCAAAATTTCTTAGTTTTGCAGAACCTCAAATTATTGAGTTTAGTATTGTCTATAAATCTAAATGGACTTTAATATATTATCGACATTTTCAATAGTTCAGTTTAGTTTGGCTTTCCCTGATAAAACTCTGTTTTGATACTCTCAAAGCTTTCTATAAGACCTTATGCATACTCACACTTTGTTGTTCAAATATGGTGCTGAGAGACTATTAATTGACATGCTATTTCTTCTGAATCAAGTTTGCATTTTTTGCCATGGCTGCAGACATCAAAGCCAGCAGAAGTAAAGTTGGAGTCTGGATTAGAAACAGCACAGACAATTATTATTGCAAGTTACGACAACGCTTCTTTGCTGTTTGCTGATTCTTAACCTTGCTGCTTCTGGTGGAAGCTAAGAATACATGATGAGTGAAGACCCAGATTATATATAGGCATCAGAACAATCTGCTAATCCAGCTTAGATGATTGTGGATAGCTGGCAGATCTCTTTCTAAAATAAATTTAAAGAAGATTGACAGGCAGATCAATTTGCAGCTTCGGAGCCATAGTCTGAGAGTTCATTGGAATCTGTCGTCGACCGACCGTGCCCAGTGGATGATATCCAGTGTGTCCTCCACTGAAGTGGCACCAAGGCAACTCCACCACCTCCTGTTTCATCTCCCTCAAGACCTCCAGAAAGACTTTGATGCCGCATGGGAGCTCAATAGGTCCAGTGTTGGGAGTACCCAAACTCCATCTTCGCTGCTTAAAGCTGCATCCTGAAGAGAGGGTGGTTCACGCACTCTGTTCGGATCACAAACTGCTCCCGCTCCCTCTCATGGCCAATGAACACAGTGAAGCACCCCTCCTTTCGTTGGCTCACTATATATTGGCATCACTCCAAGGTCTTCAGTATCAGGCCCTTTGGCCTCTTCTCTTTGCCATTTCGGAGCTTCCCCATGCAAAGCTTCATACAAAGAATGCACTACTGTGATATGGGCAATATATGAGAAGTTTGTGACTAACCAAATGAGCTTATGTGATCAACCTGTCACAAACTTGATGAAACATGACACTGGCTCTTGGGACTCTCAGGTTACACGTAATTTCTGTAGCGGATCAAGTGGCATAGTGATGAAGCAGATGAAGCATAGGTTGTGATGAGGATTTGTCTCAATAGATGGAAACCAAGCTGATAGAAGAAGATGGTGACCAAGAGATGTCAGTGGCACTTTATATAGAAGGGGAGGAGGCAAGTGCAGGAAGTGTTGGCTGTGCTGTTCATCACAATTGCGTCCATTTCGGGAGATGCATGGGCAGTGGAGGAGACTTCAGTCACCACATGCATAGCTACTGCGCCAACTGAGCTCATGGCCATCTCCGGGGAGCCAATACCACTGGGGAGAATCCCAATCTTTCGGTCCAAAGAGCGCTTGGAGTACTTCACTACCGTTTACCATGTGTTTGAGAAAATGACACTGTCGCACATCATCTAGAGATCATATTGCTGCACACTTTGGAACAGCCCTTTATACCTAAAGCAACAAGCATGATGTAGAAGTCAACTCTACCTTCCATGTTCTAATCGACGAAACAGTTGATGCTCAATGATTGTTTGGTGAGCAGTAGCCCGAGGCGAAACGCTACGTGGTGTACGATGAAATGCCTCAATGGCAACCGTTGGAATTGGAAGCGTTGTGTCGCTGCATGGCCAAAGCACAAGGTTGGACTGCGCTCTCTCGGCATTATGTTGCTGATCCAATATGTTAAAGCAATGCTATCAGTGAAACCTTTAGTAGGAAAATGGATTTCTATCCGATTCCATTTTAAACCCGATTCAATATACTCGGAACTTATTAAAGTAGCATCCAATATCTGTGTACTAAACATAGAGGGAAAGGATCGTCGGGTCGGATCACCCGCTAACCCGCTGGGTCGGTTTCGAATCTATGAATTCTGACCCGCTTTCTCACGTCCCCATTGATATCGCGCTCTTAAACCCTAGTCGCGTATCCGCTCCCCATCTGGTGACCGTCGTTGATGGATCCCATGGCTTCTGACGCCGGCTTTGACGTCGGTGACCGGTTACCTGCGTCTTCTGGGTGGGAATTTGTATGGTAGGTTCTTCATCCCCTCTCTGCTCGTACCGGCTGGGAGACAAAATTGGTTTGATCGGATGCTGTATTCTTCTTCGTGATGCCGTACGGCGGCTCGGTTTCGTCTCAAATTGTGATCTTTTCCTCTCTGTTCTGCGTCTCTCGATGTGTGACATTTTCCGTTAGTTTGTTCTTGGCGTCTTTGCCTGCTCATACATGTATAATTTCATCGCTTGGGGTTTTCGGCTTCAGATTTTGTGATTTTTCAGCGACGGCTCATTTTAGTATTTAGATAGTGGATGGTATTTAACTAATGCTAAAAGGTTACAAATTGGCATTTATGAGTGATATAGGAGTATCTCGGTGGCTGATCCCATAAGAGTGGAAACGAGAATGATTAGGTGGAGGAACAGATGGTAGATGCCAGATAATTTTGCTTTTATTATTTGGATTGGAAAAATATGTCTTTTTTCAGCCTGCTAAAGTGGTTTTGGTTACCAATGAGCAAGGTGAGGTGAATGTTGTTAATAGTACCACCGTGGATCATAAGAACCTACTATGGGTTGCTACCGTCGGGAAGAATCAAGCACAACAAATATGGAGTTGCATTGTTTTGTTACATTATATTTCAATAAGTGTTTTTAGTAGACCATACCAAAAGTTGTTAATCGTAGAGAAAACCAAAGAAGCATTGATGCAAGGCTTGCATGACAACTGATGCGTTAGTAATTCCCTCTCACAAATGAAAATTTTCTTGAGCAAAACCCTTGCTTGTGGATTGGAGTAAATATTGTAGATGCTATAAAAATAAAACATTCAGTTAGGAAATTAGCACGAACGAAGCATGCTTGATATTCTCAACCTGCTTCAGCATTCCTTCAGTACATGCATCATTTGTTTTTGTTGGATTTTTATTACAATTTTTGACCCATACATAATAACATATTTACAGCCTTGTTAATTGTTTGATCCAAAATTTGAAAGTTTCTTTAATTGAAATGGCAGTAGAAAATTTCACCACCTCATTTCACCCAAGAGTTTCTGGGAATATGTGAATGAAGTTTAATAGTTTTGGTTATTTCAGGCTTTGCCTTTTCTTTTAACTTGAACTTGATGTATATACTTGCACATCAATTTCATTTTTATTGTAAATGGTGCCACATCCAGAAATTACCATACCTACATTTTGGTTTGCAGTGACTTTGAAGTTGATTATGGATCAGAGGAGCATGCAAAAATTGTATATGCTACATTAACCGTTGATAAAGAGGTTTGCAGAACTTTCTGTCAATTCCCTGTCAATAATTGTATCCTTAAAGGTGGAAGATTATATATCTATATATATATATATATATATATATATATATATATATATAATATGGTACATTAACCTGTGATAAAGAGGTTTGCAGAACTCTTTGTCAATTCCCTGTCAATAATTGTATCCTTAAAGGTGGAAGATAATATATTTATATAAATATAATATAATATATGGTAGACTGAGACCAGTATACTGGTAACTTTGTTGAACTTGTCTCTTTTGATTATATTTGCAGCTGCAGCCAGACAAGGTTAAGAGGCAGATGTCCATTTCTGATGGCAAGCTCAAAGTGTAAGTTCACGCCTTTTTTGTTTGAAGATCCCTGTTTATCGTACTTCTTCATTTTCCCCTGTCAATACAGGCACTTTGAAGCAGTGGAGGCTAGGTTTCTGCGTGCATCATTTAGTGCATTTGTGGATCTTATGATTCTTACTACACAAATCATTGAAGAGTACAATTAGTGAGCAGCATTTTAGCAGTGAAAGGGAGCAGAAATATGGCAAGTCATTGGGTTTGAAATCTTCCTATGTCTTGTATTGTAATTTTATAGAAATCAATTAGTGAGCAGTCAATCATTTTATGTCTGTTCTTGATCAGTAGATACCAGTCAAGACTTCCACTATGTAACTGCTTAATATTTTCTATCTTCTATTAATATCGTCTTCAGCTCACCCCATGATACATCTATCTTTGCATCTAGCTTCAGTTGATTAGTCATGTGTTTATATATGTATAAGATAAGCATTTCCTGGTCCTAATATCACCATATAATTGGTTGACCATTCTGGCAGATCACAGAAATGGGCTGGGTTTGATTTTTATTTTTACCTTTAATTTTTTTTCTATTGTTTAATATCCAGAACACAGTTCTACAAGTCTTTCACTCAGAATGTGCCAATGATAATCATCTGTATGCCTCTAAGTCTTGTTAGTAATTTCTTTGATGCTTGGTTTTAGGAAACATTTAATATACATTCGTTCAGTACACCTTCCAATTGCTGCATCTAAACTTATCTAAATGAAAACTAAAACCTTGTTGATGTTTAATGCATCAATTCTCATATGAAGTGTCACCTTATCGGCTCTATATGTTTATAGTTCTTGTCTAACAACAAGTAATGCCAATTAATCAAGCAACTCCTAGCAAAAATAGCATGTTATAGAATGTTGTCATGATATATGTTATTGTGAGTAATAAATGTGATATCAAAATAAATGATGAAAACAGTATGCATGAAATGAACAATTGTTGCTTTCAGCCCATGACACATGGAATCCATAAATGCATTCATACTTCTGGTCTAGCAGAGTTGGACTGACCAGTGTTTGCAAAAGACTCTTTTTAAGTAGCTGAACTGCCAGTGTTGGAGTCCACATTTGAGTGTAGCTCTGATTGTAATGGTTTTGTTCAGTTCCTCTTACTACTTACACCACAATGTCCACAACAAAGAGGGCACAAATTCCATCATCTATATGTTATACTATTATAAATAATACTGTGCAATTTGTACACTTGAATAAGAAAAAAATTCCTTATGGTTTAAGTTAGATTGCTTGTCTTTGTGTCATTTTTCGAGGTAAAATATTTTTTTGCTAATGCAATTCTAATCTAATATCAACTTAATGAACTTCATAAAGCCACCAACAGAAGTTTGAAATCAAAGTTTCAGGCATGCCTTCATCTTGGATGTATGAATCATAAATGTATACACCTCAGTGTTATTATTATCTTGCATTTGTATGATGTAGATATGTGGTGGAATTGTATTATCGTTATGTTTTTATGTGATCCCATTGGTTACATTATCATTATATCTTTCTACATCAGGTCATATAATTGCTGCAAAAAATGGTCATATAATTACATCTTTAAAGACATCTTGCATTGTAATGGTTTTCCAAGATTTCTTCATCAGATCATGTTACTAGATAGGGATGAATCCCGACATCTTTGAGCTTCTCTCGCCGTATAAGCAATATCTAAACGAAGGCTTAAGCCACCTACTCTCTACGACCACCAATGGGAGGTCACGTCACGTGCCTCGACTTTTCGAAATGAGCCGGTAGAAACCACTCGTCACTGATCCCACATTCGAAAAACTAAACTTGACTTCGCATTAATGATCGGTGGCATGGCTTGGCTTCACTAGCCTTCTCTTCTTGGCGACAAGGGGATCACGCCTTGCTTGACCCAAAGAAATAAAGAAAGTTTGACCGTAGGCGTTATTGCGGCAATCCCCAAACTGTCACGGACAAACTTTGAAACAGGGTGTTTGATGTAATGGTTATGTATGTCCGTGTCTTTTGGCATGTTCATGTCTTGTACAGAATGTAAAGGGGCGGCCGAAGGCTTAATAGCCCCATTTTAGTTGGGTTGGTGGCCTCTTTAGGCTTGTAAATAAAGGTTGTGTCATGTGGACACGTGCGAGAGCTTTTCGTTCTCTAATGGACCATTTTACCCTTTGTTGTGCCACTGTTCAGAGCTTGTAAAGTCTGTTTGTAATTTGCATTGTCTATGAAGTGTTTTTCGGACATGTTTGCTTGTGGATCCCGATTGAGGCGTTCTCTTTAACCCGTTCTCTCTTTTGTTGGTCCTAAGGGACAATGGGAGGCTTCGGGGAGGCTGACCTTTGCGGACGGACACGCATGGGTGCCGCACGACTTAGGCAAAACCAGCTAAGTCCGTGTCAC